TGTTGCTGTTGCTGTTGCTGGTGCGGTTGCTGTTGCTGTTGCTGATGGTGTTGTTGTTGTTGTTGTTTTTGTTGTTGTTGTTGTTGCGTCCGGTGCGTGGTGAGTTCACATCTGAGTAAGCGGAGGCTTTAGGGAACTTTAGGGTTTTGTGGTGCGACCTAGTTTTGTTTTGCAGTAGGTTGTTGATATTAACCCTGGTGCTTGCTGTGTCACTAGCCGACTCAATATGGCCAACATAAATCACCTGAGCAGAGATGCGTTCGCTGCGTCCAGACAAAGAGGGTTTGGTAAAGCTAGCAGTATTGGTAATGATGCAGAAGCCGCACCATCGTCATCATCACCATCATTGCCACCGTCAGTAGCATCAACGCATTGCCACCACTCAATACTGCCACTAGTACTTCTGCCGCTGCTGCTGCTACTAATACGTGTATTGGTACTACAGTGCGTACTAATGCATGATCGTTTTGCCGGGGTTCGGGAATGAAAGGTGTGGATACCAGTTAGTAGCACTAACAGTATGCAATGGTTTCACTGGCCACAAGAGGTTCAAGAGCTGTCAACATCACGTCCTCAGTTTGCAACTCTAAGCCGTGACCCCAGCTGCATACCCTCAATAACTGCCCAAATGCCAGGTCTTGCCTAGCTTCCGGCAGCGCTATGCGTTGACGTGCCGGCCCCAAGAAGAATCCAAGATGATGTAACCTTAACCCCTACATGATCCCAAAGTTTAACCTTTAGTTCCCGTAGGTGTTGGACGGGTAGGTAACATTTGGCACAGGGTGTAGGGAAGCCCTACACAAAAAAAGTCCTAAACCCTGAACCCTGAACTCCCCATGCCCCACACCAACAACTAAGTCCCTCCCGCGTAAAGACAAGCCACCCCTAAGCCCCTAACCCTAAACCCTGGACCCAACTCCCTCTTGCTGTTCTCAGCAAGTAAGTCCCTCGAAGTTTGGCTTTCAGGCAGGCCCTCCCCCCTTCAAAGAACACATGAAAACGAGGATCAGATAATGAGAACTTGGATTATGGGCCATAGAGCGTGATAAGCTATCAGATGAATCAGAGGTTGCTTGGTTGTGGCGGGGTTTGTGTGGGGCAACTCGCATCCCCCAACTGATGGAGATATCTGTGACTATGAAGTCCTATGCCCAGTCGTAGATCCCCACCAGCATGGCTCTTGTGCCATCGCAGACATGCGACATTGGGGAGGCACACTTACGAGAAGGTGTGTAGCGATCCGTTTTCGCAGTGCGACCATGTGCTTGCTGCCGCTGCGCCTTCCTGTCTCCGCCTCCCGGGGTATTTCAGACTAGACGAAGATGTAGTAAGGATGACAGTTATCAGTTTTATACGAGGTTTCTGAATTTGTTCGCTGCCCAGTGGCGATTCAAGAAGCCACCTACTCTAGCTAGCTCGATCCTTTATTTTTTGCACCTTCCCCAATTTGCGAGCCGACGGACCCGTTTGACAAGGAGGTTGACACAACATTACTTGTACGATAAAGCAGAATAACTGTAACACAAAGACAAGATAGCATACAAGCACCTTTACCAATGTGAAGACAGAAACAAAGCACAAAATAGAAGCACACAGCTGGTAACGATCTCTTGAGGCTCTGGTTCGTGGCTCCGGCAGCCGGCCTCGATTGAGCGCGAGGCGGCACACAGCGGCATAGGGCTGAGGGTTTAGGGTTTTAGGGTCTTGAGCAAGTTGGTATGTGGTCTAGGGCTTTACAGAGTGTCAGGGTCAGGGCTTAGGGTTCAGGGCTTAAGGCTTGGGTTTTGTAAAAGTGACATACCACTGCAATATCGGTGCTGAGAATGTTCAATCCCTTGAGCTTTTGCTGAGAACTTCTGGCTCAAAGTCCTCGTGGTGGTACGCCGAGGATGGAGGAGGAGCCTGAGGTATATGCTTATGAGCGCTATGCGGCCCTGGCGACACGGGAGTCAGCTAGAGGGCTCTCCACCTTGGCATGCGCCATGTCTGAGACCGAGATTCCGACTGCGCGGTTCTTGCCCGGAGTGCCGCAACGGCTGAAAGTTTGGTTGCAATATTTTACTATCTATAGAGTCTTATATAGATATATAGAGTGTAGGACATAGTACCGTATGGTAGTGCAGCGAGTACGGCAACGACTGGTTTAGCTGATACCGTACTGCAGCAGTTTGTACTATGGTAGAGTATGATATAGTTTCTAGTTTCTAGTCTGGTCAGTATAGTTTGTTGTATGGCATAGCATAGCATAGCATAGTGTAGTATATAGTATACCACAGTGTAACTTGAACTTGAGGTCATATAACACATAGCGAAGATATTCGATTTGCAATAGCGGCACTTAGATGCGCAGCAATTACATGTCTCCTCACAAGCACCAATCCTAGGCTGGAGATCGGACAGGCCGGTGCATGGGTCGATTACAAGGCCGTGACGGTTCTCAAGCGGTTCGATTCAGCTTCAAGACCTTGGCTCTGCAAGCTGCATCCATTCCGAGGCCAAGAGCAACCCGAAGTCATCCTGAAGCCGGAGGATCTGGCTCGCGAGGCTTGCATCCTGGCGATAGCTTCGAGATTCAACTTGATCTGGGAGGCGCAGAATGTACAGTGTTGTGGCGTCGCCGTGTACGTGAAAAGCTACCGAATCCTTCCAGTGGGTCCGGATTTGGGGGTTGTTGAAGCAGTCCCCAACGCCAAGACGATAGAAAAGCTGAAGCGAGACTGCCCGAGCACTAGCCGGAGACGAGACCGAGTGCATCACTTCCTTGGAGGGAATGATGGCAAGTTGAGTCGGTTGGCAGCCACGACAGCAGGGCTGTTGGCCATGTCCTACATCATCGGCCTTGCAGACGGTCATGGAGACAACTACATGATTACGACGGAAGGTGAGTATTTTCGCATAGATTTCGAGCACACCTTCGGCGAAAAGCCCCGTGGCCCTGATGCTCCGAGGCTTTGGCTGCCTCGAACGGTGCGCGAAGCTTTGGGCAAACGCTTGGACGAGGTGGCCACGGGAGAAGAGTGCTAATGAAATACAGGTGCTGCAATGCTAGTAAGCCCAAAGCCCCAAGCCAGCTTTAGCGTAAACCAGGTGATCGGCGCGGCGACGGAGGCGGTTGAACTATTGCTGGGTCCCAACAGGAATGAACTACTTCATTCTTGCCAGGCGGGGGATGACACAAACTCTACTTAAATGATCACGAGACCCCTCAGAGGACCTGTCCTTGTAGCTGAAAAGCGGTCGTGAGGTGAGACGGGTGAAGGGTATCGGAATTCAGGCAATTCAGGCTCAGCTGCACCTACAACCTCTCAGATCCCCTGTGCGGCGTCGTTTTTTTTGAGGGGGCACTGTGGTATCCTCGCCTAGCAGGTTTTGCAAGGCTTTAGGGTTTCGGGCTTTAGGATGGCAGTGGGCAATGGTTTCGGGTTTTCACAAGTCGTAACATCTGCATTGAGGAGCTTCTTACAGAAAATGACGAGTTAGTACCAAGCGGCCAGGCGAGACAAAGCAAAGATTGCTAAGGTCATGATGGCCGCAATCCCCAATAGACCGCTCATTGGTGCACCCTCTGCCCTCCATGGGATTACAATGAGGACCCGAATATTGGGGCCTGTTAGGGCCCTCAAAGACAGGGCGGTTGTCAATCAGGGATCTACAGTATGCGCTGACTCGGTTGAACGCATTCTTGCCTGTCGTTAGTGGTGAACTCGGGGCCTGGAGCTGTAAGCACTCTTGTCCGGCTTTTGTCAACATAGTATACGGTCCTGCACAATTAAGATGGGGTTTGGACAGGTATTTCGTGGTATGATGCTATCCTGATATCATCTTAAAGTAAGGAGCCCCAAGGTATTCAGGCTTCTTAAAAATTCCACCCAATGTCAGCCAAGATGGGATAGCTCTGGATGCGATGTGCTGTTTTCTTGTTCATCATCATCCATGCAAGCAAATCTGGCCGTGTGAAACGACGTCTTTCCCTCTCTATGCCCGAACTTCAATACATATGCGTTGCTTGCAGCCAGAAACCCGTCCCAACAAGCGCGGAAATATCAAGTCGCAAAGTTCAGGTGATGGATGTGGCCTTTCCTGACAAGGAGAGTGCTGTGACGTATCTTGCTTCCCTAAGCATTGAGGAATTCCGCAGAGAAGTACACGGTGTGCGAAGCTGTGCCCTGGGCAAATGCATGAAAAGTCTGGGCCGGGAGAAATTTTATGGCAAAAGGCACGGGCGTCGCCACCACGCGAGTCTCAACGTCATGTCTCCAGCAGCATTGTTGTGCATCTGCAGGATGCACCACGTGACGACTGCGAATCAGTTGGTCGAGTTTGCCGAGCAGCTTTATGGCGCGTCGGCATTGCCACGCTTGGTGCACTTTGAGAGTTCAGTCTCGCTGTTGTCACGGTTCAATGCTGAAGATATGTTGACAGGATTGATCGAGTCAGTCATGCAAGTTGTTTCAGCGATTGCAGTGAGTACTAGCATGGTCAAAGACCTCGTAAAGTCACTGCTCGACGTCGTGGCTAATGCACCGACAGAACATGCTTTCGAAGAAGTGCTGACGGAAGTTGCAGCGACCATGGGTATGCTGGATCATGACGGACCTTTGACCTCTGAACAGGCCGCGGAGCTGGTCCAAAAGGCCACGGAGCAGTCGACGACAGAGATTGGGCAGTGGCTTCACTTGCACATGTCCAATGAGATCTGGGAACGACTCGGAGATTGGCTCCGTTTGCACATGGATAGCCTGAGCGGATTCGCGTCAGTGGCAGATGACGTCTTACCGTGGTTTCCTGTCATGCTGGGCATGAAACGAGCTGTAGTGGATAAAGACATCATAGGTGCCACCCTGCCTGTGGTGGTGCATTGGGGGCTGCCCGGAATCATGGCCCTCGTAGGTGCAGGTCCCCCATGCCTCCTCGTTTCCATTGCCCTGACGAGCTTGTGCCGAATGCTCCCTGGTTTTATTCGAAACCAATTGCTTCCGGGCTGCAAGAGTACTAGAGGGCCCACTCGCACTCAAAGGCGACACCCTCTGCCCCAAAGTCCTAACCTGCATCTAGACGTGACCGCCGGAGCCCCAAAGCCCATAGCCCAGAATCCAGCACCAGAACAGCCATAGATGCTATAGCCCCAAGGTTGGAAGGTGAGATGAAAAAGCTCGGCCTCCAGGGCATTCCAGACAGAGGTGAAATCGAGACGGCATACTGGCAGTTCGGGCACAGGTGGGAAGCCAAAATGAAGTTCTGTCCACAAGTAACTAGAACTGAAGTTGAAGCGCAGATGCGCAGAGTCTGGTGTGGAATCATCATCACAGTTTCTTCAGCACCGTTGCGGTCATATTACGGGTAGGGTCTGCTAGGTCATCTGACAGGTTTGCGTCGTCCCGGCTCGGACAGCACGACGATTTTGAGGCGGTCAGCAAGGCATACATCCGAATCATGGCGATCTTGGGGCCGGCATGAGCCCCATGACGGGTACCATGGGAGCCATGCACACTAATGACTTCTCATGGGGGCGAGAACTTTGAAGCCAACTCTGCTGCGTGAACCGATGTTGATATAAAACTCCCCTGATTTCAATGTGCTGTGGAAGCTGCTGCGACCACGGCTCTTGCTTTGCATGCCTCAGGTGCGACAACAGTCGACAAAGAACTACAAGGCAGTCATTCATTATATAAGTAACCCGTGCTACTGTTCGCAGTATTCAGGCCCCTATAGAGCCTTAATACCCATTGTTAACGGTGTGAAGTCGGGGAAGACAAGATTCCCCGAGCTTCCGAAGGTAGTTCTTGCATGCACTTGGAAATCAAACGGGCGAAAAAAGAAGTGGCAGACGATGGGATATTCAAAACACTTCAAAGCCTGACTTGTTGGCAAAGTGGCGGGATGTGCCGGCAAAGCATAGAGATCAGGGGTTGGCGGCGTTTCGGAAACATATCCCAGAGCAGGGAGGTATTATGCTCCTGTTCCCGTTCGCCTTGTGTGCTTGCAATGTGCGGCTTGCGGTTCAAGGTTTGGTTTTTGCGTGTTTTGGAGGCAAACCCGAACCAGCAAACCTACACAGTCTGCAGCACAACAGCAAACTTGCCAAGACACACTCGTTGAGCACGCAGCCCTCCAGGATTTGGTTACTGTAGTAATTCGGTACCGGGTTTTCCGACATCTGTGGCGCCCTTTCTTGGTGATCCTTGCCAGCAGCATGCGATTTCTTCGGGTGTGCCATCAACTCCGAAGGCTTCCCAACTCTACCACCACTTCACTCCTGAGAGGTCAGCCGAAGCTCATGGATATGGCGAGCACGTGCAACTGTGCACTCGTCAAAAAAGCAGCTCTGCATGGTTTGCGCCATGTGTGTTTCAGGGGTTGTGGAGTGCGATGTTGGTGGTGTTGGTCGTGGTCGTGGTCGTGGTGGTGCCGGTGCTGATGCTGGTGCTAGCGCTGGCACTGGCGCGGTGCTGGCCCTGGTACTGGTGCTGGTGCTGGAGCCGGCAATGCTGCCGCTGCTGCTGCTGCTGCTGCTGGGTCGTCGTCGTCGTCGTAGCTGGGGCTTTTGTGGAATGGACAGGTCCAGGCAAGCACAACAGCAGATGCCCTTCGGTGATTCAAGCCTCGATGCCGAATTATGTAAAAGTACTGTTTCGCTGGGACTTGTTCCATGATACCGTTGATGGACAAAGTCCTGCTTCATTTTGGTTCATTTTCGCCAAGCTGGGTGGTGCAGGCAAGAAGCCTTGTAGACACTATGCAAAACCCTTGTTAGCGAACCATTGTGGAACTGACGAAGCTCTACTCACAGATTTTGGGAGGCCGAATATTGACTTTACTGCATGAATTGTGCATTCTTGCTTCCCTCACTGGGCTTGGCCCGAGACAGGTGAACACTGTAGGGTTCAGGGGTTGAAGAGCTTTTTGCACGAAAAACTCAAGCTGTTTCCCGAATCTTAAACACCCCAAAGGGCTCTGGTTCCTGTGCAGTATATGCTCTTGCCCAATAGTAGCTTGAGAGCAGCCGCTTTCGGGAGCAAGTCGATTGCGGTATCGACTATGTCGGTAAGCCCGAACCCCGAAACGGACCCTGAGGGACCGTCATTATTTGTGCACTTTGAGCTCTGTACCGCTGCAGCGTTTGCATCTCAAGGTCTCCAGTGTCAGCTGCATCCCGAGTCTCCAGACCATTCATTACTTGGGTTTAGAGCATAGAGTCTAGAAAGTCTGGGATTTGGAAAACACCACCACAGTCCCATACTGAACAGACTGGACCAGGAGGGGCTTCGGGATTTCGGGGTTATAACTCTTCGATGATAGTTGGATGGAGGTTCTCCCGATGCACCGGGTCAGCTGTGAATGCGATTTAGGGTTTCATCGTGTTCTCAAGGTTGTAGAAAAATCCCTAAGCCCTAAACCCTGAAGCCTCCGTAGAATCGTTAGAGACCTTTGTGACTGGCCCAAGCATGGCACCCTCCCCGCCGAAACGGATCAGACGCAAGCGGATCGAAGGGCGCCTTTTCAAGATTTTGAGCTTTTGCACTTGGGCCTTACTTAGGCTCTAGAACCCTAAACCTGTCCCCAAATCCTAAGCTTTGAGCCCGAATCCAATATGACCTATAACTCTACCTGCGCTCGTGATTGACAGCGAGTGCACAACTTCGGTTCGCGACATTGGGCTTTTGCATCAGCCGGACGCGCGGATGTTTGTGATCAGCTCTTGTCAAGAGTGAAGCAAAACGAGGATTAGGTAGGAGCAGGGGCAAACAGCTTGGGGGGTAGGGTGAAAGCTCGCATCGGATATGAAGCTTAAGGGCTCCGTGTGAAGGTGTAGGCGTCGGAAAGCAAAAACCAGTCGCGGACCAGGCTCCACATGACATTGAAAAGGGGAGAGCACCTAAGCATTGTCCGACCTGCCTTCTCTCCTTCCAAAGAGCTCCAAGCCCTATAAGCCCTAAACCGTCCCTACTACTGTTGATGATAAAAATCCTGCATTACCTTAAGGACCCTAAACTATGGGAATTATGGGCATACTCCTTATTATGGGGTAATGCAGGATTCATATCATCAACCGAGGCTGTGTACACTGTGGGACTACCCGGCGTTGCTTCGGAGACTGGGCCGAAAACTATTTGGGGGTTTCCGAAAATTAGGGGACCTTATTTTGGGGTCCCTATAATAACTCTAAGTTGGTGTTAGGCGCTTGGA